GATTTTCATGACTTTGACTGAGCCGTATTTTAAACAGGTTCTGAAGCCCTGGCTTTTTTTCCCACCAGGTTTTGGGCTATGGTGGGTTTTGGGCTCCCTTTGTGAGGGATATTATGGGCTTTTAATGGATGTTTGCTCCACCTAAATGACTTATATTTTTTTTCTCTAATGTTTGCTACGCTTGTTTTTAATTATGTACACTACCCAGAGTTGTTGATGGGCAGCCTTATAAATGTATGATAAATAATTACATACATATACAGTTATGAATATTGGATTATAACGCATATGTAATTATGGGATTCTCCCACCCCCCATTGTTTCTATCCATTCTATTCAATTGGATACCATCAAATAGGGAGTATTGTCCGGTGGGGCACAGAATGAGAGCCTTTTTTGTGTGGCACCCACTCTTTGGAACATCATTGCCCTTGAGGTTAGATTGGCCCCATCCCTGTTGGCCTTTGATTAGGTCTTCAAATCTTGGTTTGTACTTGAGTTTGGGACTGTAGGTATCGATTAGAGTCTGCTCTTGGTTGTATGGATATTAGGTTAGATCATGTCCAGTTGCTATGTCTTTTTATTTTTGTTTTATATTATATATTTTGTGTTTTTATTTGCTTTAATGTAAGATATCTAGAGTTACATGAAAGTGAGACAGGTGGCTATATAGATCAAAAAATTAAATACTACATTATAGCAAAAATCAAATGAAAAGTGCAAAGAGTATCCTAGTTCAGTTATTTGAAGAGACTCAGAAGCATGAAACAAAACTAGTCCATTAAGTCTCCGTAAAGGAAATGTTTTGTGGTATCAGCCCTAGCAAACTCAGAATCCATTTTTTAATTGTAATAGAAGTAAAAGATTAAACATTTCAATAACTGTGCAAAGCACTGAAAGAAGAGCTTTGTGCAGCATGTTGGCCAAACAAAGCGCTCTTTACTGAACTGTTGAGGCAGAATCCACTGGCAGTTGCAGAGGTCTTGTGGGTACATGAACACAAATGCAAAGGTAATCCGGGAAAGCTCTTGCAGATGTGCCAGGCATCTCAATAGACTACAACTGCCTCTCTGCTTAGAAAAGGGATATTTCATTTATGCTAATATGCTTCACCGAGTGTCTCTTCAGATGCTCTGCACAGTTCTAATAAACATAAAACCATGGTTTTATTGTTATCGTGAGACTCAGAGTTACAAATGTTATGATTCCGGAAGATCTCTAGTTATATATTTGTCCTTCCCATCGTTCTTAAGTGATGGGGAATTGTAACAAGATACAGAGGATCTGATCTACTTATTTGACTGTGTCATGTTTGATTTTGATAGTTATATATTACTTGAAAACTAATTAGTTGGTCCATTGGATTTACTTCCCATTAATGTGTGTTGTGGCTTGCTGGAAAGAGTGTGTTAGATGAGCATGGGCTGAGGGGTTGCTAAGCTTCAGAGACACTGCTCTGCATGTCTGCATGTATTATGGAAGTCATATAGAATTACATTACATTTTCAATACAGATATACCGGTATTTATTTTGTTCTAGTGTTTCCTAATAGGCCTGTTTTTTCTGGCTTTTTAAGGTGTGCTTTCTCTGCCTGCCTACTTCAGCCCTTACAACGATGGATCGATATGCAGTAATGGAAGAGCTGATGCTTATGCCCAGCTAGAACTTCGAACTTTAGAACAATCTCTCCTGGCAACTTGCGTTGGAAGCATCTCTGAATTGAGTAAGCGACATAAGCGCTGATACGTTATTATTTTACATAGCATATGGAACCTTTCACTATCAATATTAAGGGAAAATATTGTGCCGTTTATTTTTGTTTTGCCTGTATTGACACTGCAAAATATGTTTCAGGATGTTTTTCAGGAAAATAAGATCCTCTCATTGGATATTTCAGAGTTTAATACAGTGTTACACAGAGATTAGCTTCTGCCCCATCAGATTATTAAAGCTGTCATCATTTATTCAGGATTATCAAAAAACATGGTACTTTGTACATGAAACATCTTATTCCAAGGCAGTGGTTCTCAACCTGTGGGTCAGGACCCCATTTGGGGTCGATCGACCATTTCACGGGGGTCGCCAAGCAAGGCTGTCCGCCATTTTTTTTTCCCGCCATTTTTTCCCCTTTTCCGGCGGGTGCCTTACCTCCCTTGGGCTGGGCCAGCTGGTGGTCGGCCTGCTCCGTCTCTGCCGCTTGCCAGCTACGCCTCGGCCGGTGCAGGGGGCAGAACCATGCATGTGCGGCGCTCCCGGGCAGGGAAAGTCCTCGACTTATGACCGGTTGGGTAGTCCTCGACTTACGACCGGTTTAGTCCTCGACATACGACCGGTTTAGTCCTCGACATACGACCGGTTTAGTCCTCGACTTATGACTGGTTGGGGTCGCGGCATTAAAAAGGTTGAGAACCACTGTTCCAAGGGATTTAGAATCTAAAATTCTATATGTGGGAAGCAAGAGAAGGAAAGAAAAGGTAAGGATGCCTTCAGGTGAAGCTCACCTCCTAGACTCTGCATCTATATGTTGTTGTTGTTGTTTTAAACAGTTCTGCAGAAATTTACTGTTCACTTCCTCTGTGATACTGTTTCAACATCACAGGGTGGCTAACAGCCCTAAAATTCCAAGGTGCCCCCAAGTTTTAAACAAGGCCAATCCTGCCTAATTTCTGAAGTTAGCCGAGGTGCTGTCAACTGGTGAAGTAAGCAATTCAGTAAGAAGAAGAAAATGGGGACAAGGCAGATGAGGAGAAGTATATACTTTTCAGTTTTGTTGTTGTAGGTAGTTTTGATCAGGAATGTGTTTCACATTTAATTGACCACTTTTCCTCTTTTTTTGTACACGATTTTTTTCCTTTTTGTCGTTGTTAGGGTTGAAGGTGTGCTTTTGTTTGTTTTACTTGTTTGTATTTTATTTTCAGTGATAAAACAATACATTTAAAAGGAATGTGTTTCAGAGAATTTATGGGAAATTTATGCTTTGTGAGATGTATGAAAGAACTGCCTTATCAAGATATTAGAGAGAACAATGCCAAGCAGAGAGAAAGGGATTGTCCCAGGGAGAGAAGACATAAAGGAGTACAAGGCTATCAAGGATTTTGAAGCTACAAATGAAAATCACAGCATACTGTATATGCAGTCTAGCAATGGATAAGAATCCATTAATTTCACGGAATTGGAGCTACTTAAAAGTTTAATGATTTGTATCAACTGTATGCTGAAACTGTATACATGTGTGAGTGCCTGCCTCCTATTTTGGCACCACTACAGTATTGCACTTGTTTTGATAAGTAACAAACTGGTTGAAATGGACATCTGAAAGTAGCAACTATTTATGCTGCATTTGCTTTGCCAGTCGTATATTACATCCCACTTAATGTTTGAAGGACCAAATTGTTTTCCACTCCTGCTGAAAATTCCAGAGAACTTGTGGGCCCCAGTATTTGGCTAACATGCCACATCCATCCTAGAGCCCATGAATTTGGAAAATGGATGAATCATATTCAAATGCCAAAAGGGCAACTTTCCAGCCTAAGAGCCAGTTAGTAATAACAAAATAAATAAATAAAACTTCTGACAGATATTTATATATAAAATAAGCTATGAAAGTCTGTTTATATTTTGATTAATGTAAACTATGCTTTGGGGTGTACTGTACACTATTTAAAGGATGCTTCGTAGATTATTTTTCCCCTGGAAAATGTTTGTCTTAGCATTTCTCCTCTTGTTTATCATCATCATAATCATATGAATGGGACTATTAGAAATCAATCCATACCTTACAGGTTTCACCATTTATTTCATGACCTGCATTAATTTGAGGTTTTATTTAAAAGAAAAAGGCTCAACACATTTGTACAGCACATTCTGCAATGCAAGAATGTTCTTATGGCATCAGTCCATGATTAGAAACAGTTTCTTTTCCCCGCTTTGTAATTTGGCAGGTTCACTGATTGCCTTTAATGAAATCTTATATAATCTCTTGCCTGAAAATTTAAATCCAAATAGAAGATTTTACAAATTTACGCAAAAAATAATCCATTTCTTTTTATACAGTATATACATCTTTTTGTACAGTATATTAAATATATATTAACAGAAGACTCAGAAAATTGTAATTCACATTTTAAGATATAATACTTAGTCAAACAATTTTCTTTTTTTTAAAAAAAAAAATCTATAATCTTTTTCTCTCCTAAACAGATAAATTTGCAGGCTTAAGTAAGTTCCAGTAAGTTCAGTGCATTTTACTCCCTAGTAAGGAGTATGTTTCAGTGAATACTAAACATTCTGCTATTTAGATTTAAGGCCCAAATTTCCTTTTTGCAATGGTAAGAAATGAACATTCACATTTATAGGCCTTTTTAGGTATCAGTCTTGAAGTCCTTAAACTTAGCAATCCTCTCCTCTTTTAACTCTGAATCTATGATAACTTGTTGAGTTATCATACCTAGCATACCAGTTTTCAAAGAAATACATACCAGTTTTGTGCATACCAGTTTTCAAAGAAATACAAATTGACCAATATCAACAATGGTATAGTGAGAATATTATATATTCAGAGGATATAGTATCTTTTCAATCACTTTAATAAACTATGGACAGTGGTTCAAAGTCATATTGTCTAAATAAACCAGAAAAAGAAAACACCATTTACTGCTGACTTCTCGTTCTAGCTTGTTCTAGAAAGAACTAGCCAGTGTCTATTGAGATGATAGGAAATAATCATTTGCACAAACATAAGCATTTACAGAAACCAGAATTCAAGAAAACGTTGAATATGTATGTAATACTGTATGTATACTACCAAAAAAATCATCAACCATTGGCATTAAAAAGCAGGCTTTCCAGATTCTCATAAGAAGTTGAAATTAATGTAAATAGCACAGGTATAGGTTTTAAAACACAGTTTGCATTCAAAAGGGTCTCAGAATGAACAGAAACAGAATATATAAACCTCTCATCTTATAGTGAACAAGGGTGAAAGGCCTTGAAGAAGTTAAACATCATCATGCTGTTTGAAAATACAACTGGTTTTGTTTCCCACTCTACTCCCTTTCCAGGTGATTTGGTATCACGAGCAATGCACCACATGCAGTGTTTGACTACCCTTCGTCCTGGCATGAGCCCTGTTCGGCAAACCAGACAACAGCAACCACCCATCACCTGGTCCCCCGATGCCCTCCATACCCTTTACTACTTTCTACGCTGCCCTCAGATGGAATCCATGGAAAACCCCAACCTGGATCCACCAAGGATGGCCTTGAGTAATGAACGGTAGGTCTTCCTGTTTGTGCTTCAAAATAACTTTTCAAGTTAACAGAAGAACATTTTAAGTCTAGTTTGCTCTGTGAATTCCACAGAATCAGCCTTCACCAGTCATTTCTGTAGCTCAGCCAGGACATTTTCTTAACTTGGCTAACACGTTGGAACTGGAACTAGAGTACTAAAGGCCGGAGACAACAGAAGTTTTATTTTCCAGTGTTCCAGGGATTTTTTTAAAAATGTTTGTTTTTCTGTTCCAGACATGTTCAACTTTAATTCCCATAGTTCCTAGCAAATTTTTAAAGTGCATAAATAGCTTATATTTTTATAAGGAAACTTTGTGGATCATAAAAAAATGAGGATATTTTCGCAGACTCGGTATTTGTTACAATTTTGATAACTGCTCATTGGCCGCTTCTAATTTCTAATTTTCCCTTTTTGCATACTGTTGAGAGTTGTTGATATAAGCAGATTTCAGATACAAATGTTAGATTTTAAGTTTTCTTGAAAAATTCCTTTTCTATATGGACGGGATAGAAAGAGGAAAAGGCTTAATTTGTTTTTTCAAACTGTGTCTCTAGAATATTCCAAAATCAATATATATTCTACACAAATATTGGTTATTTTTAATAAACTTAATATTAAGAAACTTTAAAGCAATGCTGATTCAATAGATAGAGTGTAATAATTGTGGGTGTCTTATAAAGCACTGTTTCAAAACATTAATTCTACTAATGCTGCTTTAGTAAGCGCAAATGAGAGTGCATTGAATGTGGCCACTGTTCTACTTCCAAGGAATGGATCAATAATGTTCCTTTTTTTTCTTTTTCTGGTGTTCTTGGCTCCCTGGTGCACATCAGAAATTTGCACATGCAGATCAGTAGTGAGATTCAAATATGGGAACAACCAGTTCTCTGTGTGGATGCCGCTTCTGGAAGTCCATTCTGGGCCTGGGCAACAAAAAATTAGCTACCGGTTCTGCCGAAGTGATGCGAACCGGCTGAATCCCACCACTGATGCAGATCCATTTCTCATCCAAATATAGAGTTCTTTCTGATACAATATAAATTTTAAGCTCAAATACACACATAGGTAAATGCAAGCTGGAAGGTAACAGATTCAGAATGACATGGCTGTCGCCGAAGAAAAATCTAACCAGTCTTTGAAAATTGTTTTTAAAAAGTGTGCTTTTTCACAATAAATCCAGTGCTTTCCATTTAATGTGGCCAGTGAGATATATACTGCAGAGGATACTATATACACAGATTTCTGTTTGTTTATTTCCAGCAAGAGGAAAAAGTAAATTGAGGTTATTTCTGAGTATGCCAGACCCGCAGCATGCTGCATAAAGGCACTGATTCACATACTCTATCTTGGCAAGGCTACAAGATCCAGCCTCTTTAAAAAAAACAAAAAACTTTTAGTGCTAAATCAGCTGCAAATTCTGCATTACTCCATTGTGCCTCATTGAGCTTATGAAGTATGCTTTTGAAGGCATTGCAGACCTAAGGGGGAAAAAAAACTCAGTTTTAAAGCGAAGAAAATAACACCAAAGATCAGCTGCACTACGTTGTTTATTTTTAGATGCCTGCTGAATACAGTCATTTTAAACAGCAAGAAAGGTGATGCACACTTTTGCCAAAAGCCATTCCTATCATTATTTTAACTGGTGAGCATTAGAACAAGCTTCCCCAATCTGCCACTCTGCAAGGGTATTGGATTTCAGATCCTGAAACCTTTCAGAAGCTCAAGACTGCTTTTGATTAATTTTGTGAGAACTTGCTTGCTTATTGCTCTTTCAGTTGGTTATTCATCAAATTCTCTTCAACCTTTTTTTTTAGTATTTCAGACAGGGGTGCTACTAAATTTTAGGAGAGCAGGCAGAAGAGGTCCTTAGTTCTCCTCTTCTGGTCTTTCTTTTATTTTAGTCTCCTCCTTTTCATCCTATTCCAGATCCTTCCTGTCTGCCTGTAAAACCATTTCTGTGGATTTCTTACCTCCTATCCTTTCCTCTTCCTTGCTACACACACTCATACACCCTTTAGGGCCCGAATGTGCAGTGTCAGTTTGAGAAAATAAATGTATGTGACTAAATATATGAAGCCCAGTTTTTCTTATGCTATTTAATTGTTACCACATTGATTCACAGATACTTTCCTTAACTATCCTTTATATTAGAAATGAACATTCTATGTTAAAATCTTCATAAGTTTTACTAAAAGCCAGGATGTTATCGTAATAAAAATGGCCAAATAAAAGTTGGGAGATTAAGCTTCAAAGCCCATTCGATCATGAATTTCACACATCCCACTAAGACCTGGGTTGCAGGTCTAAGCCATGCTTTGCAGACTAAGCCATGACTTCTGAATTCAGATGTAATACTAATCATCAAACAATTGTTTGGATGAATGACTAGGTTGACTTCCTCCAATAAGCAAAACAAAGAATCTACTTTTTGTTTAATGTACTATGAAAACCCAGCCACAGAATAACTTTCCATGAAATACTCTCTCTCAGCCTGTTTTATTTAACAGGGTATTGTGAGGATAAAACTGGAATGACAAAAGGACCACATACGAGCATGTGTGTAAAGCTCTTTGGGAAAAAGATGAGTTTTTTTTTAACATCATAATCATGCTGGGCATTGGTTAATCCCAAATCTTGTATTTGTTGCATTCGTACCCCACTTTTCCTCTAGAAGGTCTTAGTAGTATTGTATCATCACTTTTAGTTTCAAAATTATATTATGAGATATATACAGAAAGCAACAATAGTTTTTCAAGAACCTCCCAAAAGTGAAGGTATATTTGAGTTTTAAACTTCTGGCCCTGAATTTCAAACTCTACTCATGTAGCATATCTACTCACTCCTCCTTATTTCCACCTACCATTGATTTTCTCATGAACCATGATGATTTGAGAAACATACATCTGAAATCATGTAAAGTACCTCTGCTTTTAATTGCCAAGATTATTTATTTGATTATTTTGTTAAGCAACTCAAATAAAACATATAGGCCTTCATTCCTTACAATTATCCTTTGAGTTCATTTAGCATAAGTGCTGTTACTAGTTACTAAGCTTCATGGATAGATTGGTATTTAACCCTTTGCATTCTCAGTTCAACCACATTGTCTCCCATGTCACTAGAACATACATGGAAATGTTTCTGAATATAGGCATATGTTAATTTAAGTGCAGATACCAAAAAGGCTGTCTATCACTGTGGTTTGTACTCGCCTGGAATGGTATTTTGCAACCTGCTGGAATGCTGCACCTGTGTGCTAAAATGTGAACCAGCTCTTTACACATTGAGCAAATCCCTTATGACTAAGGGGGGTAATATCTCTAAGATTCCATCATCAAAGAACATATGTTGGAAGAATCCACATGTATGTGTGCTTCAATGCCTCTTTGATTTTACAGAGATCCATTACATAGTGATATATTTTAGTGTACAAAAAGCAAACAGGTGTGGTTACACCATTGAGTTCTTTTGTTATTTTTCCATCACTCATTTTAGCCTTATTCCATTCTATACCAAGAGAACCTGAATTCATTTTAGGAAATACCAGAAACCAGAAATTCCATTGTTTTTGGAATCAATATTGGCAGAGGTTTATGAGGTGCCCAGTTTGCCAGTATTTAATTTACGTTTTAATACAGAGGTCCCCAACTGTTTGGGCACCAGGGACTGGTTACATGGAGAGAGGTTTTTCCACGGACTGGAGGGGGCATGGTTTTGTGTTCTGCCTGCATCCCGCGGATGGGGCTTTGCTTGTTTGTGTGGACTGGTTGCTGGCATGTCGTAGCCCGGTACTGGTCCACGGACCGGGGCTGGGGACCCCTGTTGTAGTATACAGTAATTCTTTATAGGGCTCTATAACAGCAAAGACATAAGAGAAACAATTATAAGCATATAGTGGTCCAACTTGATACCTATTAGATTGGGTGAACTTATTGATAGATGGATAATCTGACTATAAGCATTTTGTGTTAGGACTAAGAGGAACTATGCCATCCATCTAGAAATATACTGCAAAATTCATAAAATGCCAACTTAATGGAAACAGAGCGTAGGATGAAGAACCAGGGAATGCTGGAAAAAAGTGGGGGAGCAGTTAACTTGAACAAAAGGAAACTTGTTCTAGTTTTCAGGCACAATATGTGTCAGGATGACAGGGCATGACAGCGCAAAGCTCCTCAGCAGCCATTTTGCAAAAGATCCATAGCATATCCTCAAAAGGCCTATCAGGCTAGAAAGGTTGGAGATGCCTGACTTAAGGCCTGCTAATTACTGAAAAAGCATTTAAAGATATAGTTTAGGTATTAATAATTTATTTTTAAAGGATTAGGACTTAACAGGGCCCAAGAGAAAGTAGCACTAATTTATATTCCAGGATATTAAGTGGCTTTAAGATAAAAGCTTTAAACTAAATATAGTAAAACTATTGTAAAAGCATCTTGTTTTACTTTTCCTACATGGCATACTATTACTAAATCATTGTTTTGCTTTGATATGTATATTAAGTTGCACTCAGTGCTCTGAGGAGCTATTGAGATCCTCTAATATATCCTTCCAAACAAATGAACAAAAGTGGGGAAGACAAGAAATCCTTTGATTTCACATAATCTCATTGGTTTGATTAGCATGGAGATGTAGAATTTGTGCACAATTTTAACATACGATTGTTTTGCAACATAGAGATGCTTATTTTTATTTTTAGAAGGAATCAGGTAGCGATTTTAGTGACTAACAATTTTTATTAAAAGCTATGAGCTTTTGAGAACTACAGCTCACTTCTTTAGGTAATTGAAGTAATTAAACAAATCTAGGATTTAAATTGTGATTTATTTATTTTTATTATTCATTATAAAATGTATTATTTAATTATTTATTATTAAAAAAAACCATGTCGAATCAGGCATGTTTATGAAGTTTATTAATACAGTTAAGAGGTCAGTATTTCTCATTTATTATTACTCTCTAACACAAAAGTCTCAAACATCCTG